CAGACACTTACGGAGTACCTACTACATGGGGACACTGTCAGGCACTGTGGGTGGTGTCTCCCTGGTCCATCCGCTCCGCTCCGCTCCTAACAAGGGGAACTTGTACCGTCTCTCCTCAAACCCCTAGCATCTCACCCTTGGCTTGCTTCCCATTCACTGAGAAAACACAGTTGGACGAGACGACTTCCAGTCCCCACCCACGTCTTCCCACTGCCTCTGTGCCCACACAGGCCACCTTCCCCCACTACTGCAGGTGAACCCTCTGTGTTCCGATGCCAACCCCTTCAGGCACTAGACCTCATGCCGTCTGGTCTGTCTACTCAAAGATCTCCCACGCGCTCACCGTCATCAATTCTTCCCTTCCCACGGGGTCCTTCCCACCAGCATCCAAATGTGCCATCACTCGAATTTTTAACACTCCCTTCCTATTCCTATTTCCTCCTGAGCTACTCATTTTTAAAAAAGTAATCTCAGGGGCGCCTGGGTGGCTCAGCCGGTTGAGCGACCGACTTCGGCTCAGGTCATGATCTCATGGTTTGTGGGTTCGAGCCCCCCGTCGGGCTCTGTGCTGACAGCTCGGAACTTGAAACCTGCTTCGGGTTCTGTGTCTCCCTCTCTCTGACCCTCCCCCACTCACGCTCTGTCTCTCAAAAATAAAATGTTTTTAAAAAAATTTTAAAAATAAAAATAGGGGCGCCTGGGTGGCGCAGTCGGTTAAGCGTCCGACTTCATCCAGGTCACGATCTCACGGTCCGTGAGTTTGAGCCCCGCGTCGGGCTCTGGGCTGATGGCTCAGAGCCTGGAGCCTGTTTCCGATTCTGTGTCTCCCTCTCTCTCTGCCCCTCGCCCGTTCATGCTCTGTCTCTTTCAGTCCCAAAAATAAATAAACGTTGGAAAAAAAAATTTTTTTTTAAATAAAAAAAATAAAAATAAAAATAAAAAAGTAATTTCTACCCCTAGGCACCTGGGTGGCTCAGTCGGTTAAGCGCCCGACTTTGGATCAGGTCATGATCTCGCGGTTTGTAGGTTCGAGCCCCACATCAGGCTCTGTGCTGGCAGTGCAGAGCCTGCCTGGGATTCTCTCCCTCGATCTCTGCTCCTCCCCCACTCGTGCTTTCTCTCTCTCAAAATCAGTAAATAAACTTAAAAAGATTTGTTAAGGGGTGCCTGGGTGGCGCAGTCGGTTAAGCGTCCAACTTCAGCCAGGTCACGATCTCGCGGTCCGTGAGTTCGAGCCCCGCGTCGGGCTCTGTGGTGACTGCTCAGAGCCTGGAGCCTGTTTCTGATTCTGTGTCTCCCTCTCTCTCTCTGCCCCTCCCCCGTTCATGCTCTGTCTCTCTGTGTCCCAAAAAAAATAAACGTTGAAGAAAAAAAAAAAAATTAGAAAAGAAAAAAAAAAAGATTTTTTAAAAAGTAATCTCTACCCCCAGTGGGTCTTGAACTCACAACCCTGAGATCAAGATTTGCAGGCACCCCAAACTGTCTCGTTTCTAACAACAAAACTCCTTGAGGGCTGTTTATATTTGTCTCCAGTTTCCACAAAGTTCAGCCGTGTAAGTGTATAATTCAATAGACGTGTGCAGCCATTACCGTCATCTGATTTTTGAACATTTTCATCACCCCCAAAAAGGAACCCCATACCCACTGGGAGTCACTTGCATTCCTCACGCACTCATTCTGGATCCACCTCCACACCCCAGGCAACCATAATCTACTGTCTTACAGATTCGCCTCTCCTGGATATTTCACACAGATGGGATCACGCGATATGGGTCTTTCGCGACAGACTTCTTCTGAGGTTCACCTGTGTTGTTGCATGTATCGGTGGCTCTTTCCTTTTCAGGGCCGAATGACATTCCACTGTAGGGATGTATCGCATTTGGCTGATGCATGTATCAGTTGATGGACATCTGGGATGTTTCCATTTTGGGGCTGTCGTGAATAACGCTATGAACATTCACATTCAAGCTGTTGTGTACACACAGGTTAACATCTCTCGGGTGGAATTCTCTAGGAGTGGAGTTGCTGAGTCACAGGGTAATCCTACGTGTAATTTATTGCCAGGTGGTTTCCGCAGTGACTGTCCCATTTTATATTCTCACCAGCGCAGTATGAGGGCTCTGATTTCCCCGCATCCTCACCAACATTTGTTATCACCTGGCTTTTTGATTATAGCTTCCCGGGGGTGTGAAGGGGTATCTCACTGTGGTTTTGATTTGCATTTCCCTGATGACTAATGTTGCCTCCCACTGACTTTTTTTTTTTTTAATTTTTTTTTCAACGTTTATTTATTTTGGGGACAGAGAGAGACAGAGCATGAACGGGGGAGGGGCAGAGAGAGAGGGAGACACCGAATCGGAAACAGGCTCCAGGCTCCGAGCCATCAGCCCCGAGCCTGACGCGGGGCTCGAACTCACGCGAGATCACGCGAGATCTCGCGAGATCGTGACCTGGCTGAAGTCGGACGCTTCACCGACTGCGCCACCCAGGCGCCCCAGCTGACTTTTAAACCCATGCGAATCACATGGTTCCCCCACCTCCCACCCCATTGCTCTATAGAAATTGCTCAGGGTAAGTTCATCAGTGCTGTCCATGTGGCTAAAACCAACGGCCAATTCTCAGGCCTCCTATTTCATGATGTGGCAGCATGTGGTCACTCTCCTTGAAATGCTTTCTTTGCCCGGCTTTCAGAATGCCACCGCTGCCTGGTTTTCCCTCTCCGTTTTCCTTCTCGGTTCCACGTAATGCGTCAGACTGCTTCGCCTTGGAGAAGCCTCCTCCTCCCCACTTCTCTTCTCCTTCTACACTTGTTTCCTCTGTGTATCCAGCGATACGGCTCTGAATGCCTCGTTCATGCTCCCTGCCTGGAAAAGGGACTCTGGAACTTGTATGTTCAGATCAGACCTCACCCCTGCATTCGAGACTTGTATCCCCAACCGCCTCCAGGACATTCCCACTTGGGACACCTCAAAACCAGACCCAGCCCCTCATCTGTCCTCCCCTGCCTCCCCCTTAATCCCCAGGAAACCTGACCCTCCAGCAGCACCGATATCCAGAAACAGAACCCCTACCTTAGAGCTGCTCATGCCGTGTGCGTGGTGCACAACAGTAACCCCTGCCACATAGGACTATTTGATTGCTTTTCATTCACTCATTCTTTGACAAAGTCAATCAGTCACAGACCCACTTAACCAAGTATGAGTTGAATTCCACACTTTGCCAGGTTTGCAAATACAGAAATGAATTAAGAGGCAGCGCCTGACTTCCAGGCGCTCCTAGTCAAGTAAACAAAGAGTGTGATCCAGACTATACCCAGGATGCCCAGACACGTCCCTCTGTGACTACTGTTTTCAAAGATGAGGGACAATTTAAATTATCAAAGCTACAAAAGATTATAAATTTAGCTCCTCAGTTGCACTGGCCACATTTGAGCTGTTTCGTGGCCGCAGGTGGCTGGCAGCCACCACGATGGACAGTGCACATCTAGAACATTCCCATCATGGCAGAGGGTTCTACTGGACGTTGGTGCTGCCCTGACCATTGACACCTGCCCCTTCTCTTTTCTTCCCCTCACACCCAACATTCCAATCCACAAGCGAGCCCCACTGCTCCACCTTTAGGCCAGATGGAGAACGACTGCTCTCACTGTCACCACTTTGTCCCTGACGCCGGATCTCTTTCCTGGATTAAAGCTGTCCAGGTTATCACAGCACCAAACAGTGGTTTCCGCTTCTACCCTTCCCGCTACGGTGTAGTATCGACACAGTAGCCACGCAAATCGAATCAAATCATGACCTTCCTTGCCTCAAAAACTGCCCATAACGTTCATCTCAGAGGAAAACGCAGACCTTCCAGTGGCCAAGGTCCTGCATGACCCGGTCCCCTCACATCCTCTCTGACCTCACTGCGTAGCCACTTCCTAAAGTCCTGCTCCAGACGCCCTGCCATCTGGCCATGTCCCCGATGCTGGGCACACTCAGGTTGTTTCTGACTTGATCCATGCCTCATTTTTGCTTCATTTTGTTTATCGTCTGACCATACGTGAGGACATAAACTCCATGAGGGTGCAGACTTTTGTCTGTCCTGATTTCTTCATTGCTGTCTTGACAGTCTCTTAAAAATGCCCGGCACATAGGAAGTACTCAGTAAGTATTCTCTAAACGAATGAGTCAAGGGGAATATATCCGTGAATAAGAACGAGTAGATGCCTAAAAGGAGCTTATCTTTCACATGCGAGGACGCAAACCCAAATAAAAAACACAAGCTGACATTAAGTCCCAATGAGTGCTTATGCACAAGCTAAAACAGGGGGATGTCCATGCAGGGGGAGCGTAGTCAGAGAAGACGGCATTTGGGCTGGGACGTGTGCACTGAGAGAGAGGTAGCTTCGTGCGGTTCACAGGAAAGTCATTTCAAGTATGAAAAACAGCACGTGCAAAGGCCTGAACATGGGACCGAGCTTTGTATGTTCAAGGACCAAAAAATGGCCCATGGGGATAGAGAGTAAAGAGGGGGGACAAGAAAAGAGAGTCAGGCAAATACAGTGCCAGGCACACAGAGCTGTCGTGGGGATTAAATAGGTTGATACATGTAAAGGCTTTTCAGAGGAAACCCTAAATGGGTTAACTAGCCACGTAACAAGGTCCTGGAGAGAGTGACAAGAATCATGACAAACGCAAGGAAGAAGCAAAGGCCAAACGAACCGCGGGGTAGAAAGATCAAGGGGAAGAGTGGGACAAGGCTTGCCCGATCATCAAGGACCAGAGCCTGGGGGATCTTGGAGGCCTTGACAAGGAACTGGATTCTGTCCCAAGGCAATAGGGAGCCACTGAAGGCTTTTGAGCCGGAGTAACCTGATCTGACACACTTATTTTTTTTAACTTTATTTATTTTGAGAGAGAGCATGAACAGGGGAAAGGAGCAGAGAGGGAGAGAGAATCCCAAGCAGGGCTCCATGCTGTCAGCACAGGGCCTGATGTAGGGCTCGATCCCATGAGCTGTGAGATCATGACCCGAGCCAAAATCCAGCGCTGGACCCTTAACGGACTAGGCCACCCAGGCGCCCCTGATCTGACATACATTAAAATATTACTCTGGCTGCTATGTGGAAGACGGACTGCAGCGGGGCAGGGCCGAGTCGAGGCAGGGGGGGCGAGTGGGGATGCTGCTGCAGTGATCCAGGGAAGAGATGATGGTGACTGGGACCACAGAGAGAGGGCAGCTGCACAAGATGTTTAGGAGTTAAAGAGGCTCAGGCATGAAAACCGGAGAGGAGGAGGAATTAAACTTAGGTTTCTGGGGGAGCAGCTGGGTGGACGGGGGCGCCTTTAGCAGGAAAGCCTCAGGGAGGCACGGGCTTTCAAGGAGACATCAAGGACTCTATTTGAGGGTGTCTTCTGCAGGCTGCAATGTCAGAGAGACTGCCAGAAATCCCGGGAAGGGTCTGGGCTTGCACCTAAAGCCCTCAGCACAGGCCCTTGCACTGTGACACCTCTACATACTCCCGTCATTAGGAGCCTATCCGCCTGAACGTATCTGGGGTACGCTGCCTCTCCTGCTACCTGCGACGGTACTGACCCCCTTCAAAGATGGAAAGAATCTAGAGAGCGGAAAGACATTCTTTATTTTAGGGATGAAAACAGGACAAGGAAGTAAGAAAAAGATACCTTTGTTAGTTGCCCTTGAAGTACCATCGAAAAAATACCCTAGGGAAACAAGGAGGCATTTTGTGTTGGGGGGCAGGGTTGGGGATGAGATACTGGGGTCCTGGAAGCCTGAGTCCCTAAGGTGGATAAGGCCTGAACTCTTGGATCTGAGGGAGGAGGGGGCCGTGGACCTGCACTTACGGGTCTGAGGGAGGAGGGGCTGGAAGCCTAGATTCCTGGGTCTGAGGGAGAAGGGGCTGGAGGTCTGGACTCCCGGGTCTGAGGGAGGAGGTGGATGGTGGCCTGGACTCCTGGGTACGAGGGTGCCGGACACTCAGGTCTGAGGAAGGAGAGCGGATGCTGGCACTCCAGGGTCCCGGGGACTCACCACACCGTAAGGGTCGCACTGGCTGATGCTACGGCTGCGAGGGCCGCGAGCAGGCACTGGTTGCCCGGCGTCAGAGCCTCGGGCCTGGCCAGCAGCTCGCCCAGGCTTGGCCTCCATGGTTCCAACGTCTCCGTCTCCTTCGGCGCCCAGCGCAGCACTTTCCGAAAGGAGACCTGCAGCTCGATCTCCCCACGCGGGGGCGCACTGGTCACTGCGGGGGCGAGCACGTCAGTCGGGCGCGCTCCCGGCGCCCCGCGCAGCCCCGCCCCCTCGCGCAGCCCCGCGCGCACCGTTAAGAAAAAAGTAGAGCCGCGCCACTGGGCGCTGGTCGTGCAGGATGGAGCAAGAGAAGGTCCCGCTGTGCGTGGGCTGCACCGGCCGGATCCGCGCCAGGTATCCTTGGGCCCGCGGGATGTCTCGGAAGTAGGACTGGTCCTGCGTCCGGAGCTAAGGGACGCTCGGGCTGAAGCGGTGGGAGGAGCGGAGCCCTGCCCTAACTTGGGTCAGGTTCCCCCCTGCAAGCGTCTCGCCAAACCAGAACGTTCGAGTCCCGACCCCGAACTAGACCACGCCTTCTCGAGCCTTGGCCCCACCCCTCATCCCTTTTTAGCGGACCTCCCCCACCCCCCCCCCCCGCCTCCACGCATAACCCCGCCTCTTGGGCGCCGTACTCACTCTCCGGCCCTAAATCCTTCCTTACACGTAAGCCACCCTCCTGAACCTTGACTCCACTTTTAAATCCTGGGACCGTCCCCTTGCACGAAACGTGAATCTAGACCGAGCTCCCTCGAGTCCCACCCCCCAGTGCTGACCCGCCCCCCCATCCTCTAGAGAAGCATAACCCGCCTCCTAAACCCTTCGCGTTGGCCCCGTTCCGACTCACACCTCCTCCTGCGAACTTCCAGGAATAGGTGATTTCCTCCTTAGGCAGTTGGAAGTTCACAGTGCAGGAGAACTTAGCCTGCTGACCCCGAGTCACCGTCAAGTCCTGAACTGAAGACATGTCCGCGTCACCATCCGGGCCCTCCCCCGTGCGGCCGCTTCCCTTCCCGGCTCAGCTCTAGTTTCTCCAGTTCGTACCGTTTCTTCTCCTTCCAGGCCCCGCCTCTCACCTGGGCAGTCCAGCGGGAAGTTGCAGGCCTTGGAGTAGCACCCGTAGCAGAGGAAACGCCGGGCGACATCCTGGAACCCTGTGGGACCGAAGCGTGCACCTGGGCTCCGTCTGCGTTCCCCAGCCGGGGTCCCTTTGGCCAACTTAAGGTCTGTTAAGCCTCCGGGCTCTATCGGCCAGACAGGCCCTGGGCGCCGCCTTCCCTGCGCTCACTGGCCGACTCGCCACACTCTCCGGCCTCTAGGACTCCTATTGGCTTGTTTTTGCTTTCAGGCCCGCCTTATATGAGGTGTGTGAGCAATACCTGGTTTTATTACTTTTCTCCAGGGCTCTTATTGGCCTCCTTCGGACCCGACGCCCACCCAGGTTTCGATCCCGACCACCTCCCTGCCCCCTCAATTCTGAGCTTTGAATGAGGTGCTTACCGCAGGGAGGGACGCAGGCCTGGGCTGTGGAGAGAGAGACATAACTACCTTGGAGGGCCTGGAAGTGCCCATCTGGAGCTCCCATAGGGGATGTTACTGGGCCAGATGCTTTCCTCCTACGGGGCGGGGCCAGGCCTGCCGCGGCCCACCTAGGGGGCGGAGCCAGGCCTGCCGCGGGCGATCCAGGGGCGAGGCCTGATCTGCCACCGCCCACCTAGGGGGCGGGGCCAGGCCTGCTGCATTCCAGTAACGTCAGGCCCAGGCATGCTGTTTCTAAGGGCGCTGGGCGGACCCCAGTGCGTTCCACTGAGGGAGCGGGGCCAGACCCCGGGCGATTGTTTTAGGGACAGGGCCTAACTAGCGGGCTCAGAGTAGAGGTGTTGGCTAGGCTAGAATTCCCCCACTGAGGGGGTCCACTTGGAAAGGAAATGTCAGAGTGCGCCGGCAGATCCAGGGAGCGGCCCAGGCCAATCTGGGACGGAACCATCCCAAGAAGGGGTCCTAGCTGGAGAGGAAACCTTCCACCGAAGCGGGGACCACATCCAGAGTGGTCCTGGCAGGGGGAGAGGCTGTGTCAGGCGTGACCCACCGAGGGCAGCGGCTCAGAGGGACTGGGCAGAAGGGAGAGGATGGCTGGCTCAGGAATTTTCTAATCGTGTGTGTCGCGCCTAAGGGAAGGAACTGGAGCCTCTTTTACCTCCTTTAAGCTTCATAACGACCTTCCGCATTTTCTCGGCAGCATCAGGGAAAGCAACGTTAAAGGAGCCTGGGGAATGGAGGGGGGCCTTGTAGAAAAGACCCTTCCCTTCCTCAGCCCCTCCCGTCCCTACGTGTCTAGTATATACTGCACCCCCTCTTCTCACCTCCTCCCACCCCGTCTGCCTGGAAGCCTGACGACTCCCCAGATGTCCTTCCATCTGCCCCAGGACTATCTCTCCAATGGAACCCCTCTGCATCCTGTGTTGATCTTATTGAGGGGGGAAAGGGAAGATAAAGATCAAATCCCTCACCAAGTCCTATTACCCCTACATGGTCTGGCTACTTTCCTCTGGCTCTCTATTCCATCGTGCCCACCTATCATTTCCCCTAGTGTGAAAACAACCATATTCTCTAGCACCTCAGGGCCTTTGCACATGCTGGCTTCTGTTTCTAACACATCTTTCCCCCTACTCCTGCCCATCCTTCATCTCCGACCTCATGTCGTCTCCTGCGAGGTTTTCCCTGACCACAGATCTAATCCAGTTCCCTATTTTTGTCTCCCGAAGTGTTCCATTCATTCCATTTAGAGTTCTCAGTTTAGAATGATATGTATTTATATAATTTATTTTAAAAATTGTAATGTTTATTTTTGAGTTGGAGAGCACAAGCACGGAAGGGGCAGAGAGGGAGACACAGAATCTGAAGCAGGCTCCAGGCTCTGAGCTGTCAGCACAGAGCCCGATGTGGGGCTCGAAATCACAAACCGCGAGACCATGACCTAAGCTGAAATCGGACACTTAACCGACTGAGCCACCCAGGTGCCCCCTTACATAATTTATATATACAGCAATCATGTAAGTGTGTACACTGTTAAGTTCGTAAACACATTGTTCTTCGTTCTTCAGTGCCGTATCCCCAGAACCCAGGGGAGGGCCCTGAGTCTTAGTAAGTACGTGTAGAATGAATTCCAGGATCCAGCTGGAATGGCGACCACAACCGGTGGCCTGTGGCTCCAGTCCATCTCTTGCATGTGTTATATTTGGACTGGAATTTATTTTTAAAAATTAACCAGTTGCCAGCATGTAAAATTTGGGAAAGTCACATAAAACGTTTGGCATTTCTTTTAAAACATTTGGAAGAGGTGCAACACAGAGGCTGTGTTTTTGTGAGGGGGCAAGTAACTACAGCTTAGGGGCGGCTACCTGCTCTACACAGGGCATGCACCTGACCCTCCTCTGTGGTCTCCAGTCTCTGTTCGTTCCTACCCCCCTTTTACGCTTTCTTTCTCCGTCCTTGTGGGTGTTGGCAGTTTTGACCCTTGCAGGGGCCTCCCAACTGTAAGGTTTTGTGGCTTTTCCCAAAGTGAACGGCTGGACGGTGGATTGGCGATTGGTGGAGATGGCTTTGGAAATTAGAAATGCGGCAGGTGTTATGGACTGAATTGTATGCAGTCTTCCCAAATTCGTATGCGGAAGTCCTAACCCCGAGTACCTCGGACTGTGACTGTACTTGGAGGTACAGCCTTGAAGAGGTCATTAAGTTAAAATTATGTCATCAGGGTGGACCCTGATCCAGCATGACTGATGGCATTGTAAGAGGAGGAAAGCTAGACACAGACACACAAAGGGAAGAGCGTGTGAAGACACAGCAAAAGAGAAGATGGTCATCTACAAGCCAAAGAGAGAGGCCTCAGAAGGACCCAGCCCTGCTCACCCTGATGCCTTGATCTTGGACTTCTAGCCTCCAGAATTGTGAACAAATACCTTTCGGTTGTTTAAGCAACTCAGTTTACGGCACTTTGTTATAGCAACTCCAGCAAGCTAACACACAGGGATTGCTAGTTGCCTCCAAATATCTCTTTTAGTAACATCACACTGCATTTCGGCTGGGAAAGCACCCCCGGCCCCGCCAACCACCCAGCTAAAAGGCTAGATTTCTCAACAGCCCTTGCTGCTTGTAGCTGCAGTCATGTGACCCGGTTGTGGTCCTATAACCAAGTTCATAGGACAGAGTCTCAAAAGAGACACAGCACATTTTGTCAATCCTTCCCCTTTCTCCATTTTGCTGCCTGAAGCTTGGATGGATGGCCGGAGCTCTAGCAGTCATGCAGAACCACGAAGATAAGGGCTCCACCCTAGGATGGTAAAGCAGGCAGCCGGAAGGGATTTGGGTCCCCAAGACGAAATGGTGCTGCCGTACTGAAGTGCCTACCTCAAGACTTCTTTTACACGGGAGAAATAAACTTCTAGCTTGCTTAAGCTGTTGCACATTCCTCTGTGACTTTTTTTTTTTTTTTTTTAAGTAGGCTTCATGCCCAGCGCAGAGCCCAGCGCGGGGCTTGACCTCACAATCCTGAGATCGAGACCTCAGCTGAAGTCAAGAGTCAGACGCTTAACCAACCCAGCCACCCAGGGGCCCTGTTCCTCTGTGATTTAAGACATATAAAAATGGAAAATATTGCCAAGTGTGGCTGACATGGTGACCTTTGGGTATAAATTGGAGAGGGGGGCACTGAAGCCAGGAAGTGGGTTCAGAATGAGGGGTCAAGGACTTAGGTGTCTCTCCTTGGTCACAGGGCAGATGTGTGGTCTGGAGACGGCAGGATGATCAGGAGGATGTGGTCAGAGTGGGGTGCTCAAATGAGAGGCCAGGATGTTGGAGTCGTCATCCAAGGAATATCTTTGGGCCAAACCAAGTGACTCACAGGGAGGATGAGTGTGGGATATAGCAAGTGAGCCATGCCCAGGGTATGTGTGCGTGCTGTATCGATCGAGTAAATCATGGGAATAAAACAGGGATAGAGTGAAATGTCCAGAGGCAGAGGGGTGGAGGTCGTCTCAAGTGAGCCACAAGGGGGCGTGGGTAGATGTTGTAAAGTCTCCCCAAAAAAGGTGCATGTAAAAAAAAAAAAAGCGCGTATCCGTAGGAACTTCAGCTGTTTCAGACCATCCGGGTTTGAGTCCCAGCTCATCCATCTGTTACGGGTGTTGGGAGTTTTGACCCTTGCAAGGGCCTCCAAACTGTAAGGTTTTGTGGCTTTTCCCAAAGTTACGGCTGGATGGTGGATTGGCGATTGGTGGAGATGGCTTTGGAAAGTAGAAATGTCACAGCTGAGACATCCATTTCCAGCCCTCTTCCTTATGTGACCTTGGCCAAATATTTAGCTTTCCTGATCCCCGGTTTGCAAGACGGGGACAATATCAGCGCCTGCCTCTTAGGGCTGGGGCGAGATTTAATGCCGTACAATATAGAGGGCGTCCCCACGCCAAACGATGTGCCGTTTAATGGCCGCGTGACAGAATGTCTGTAAGCGCTTCGGATGGCACACGGCGAGTGTTACGGACGGGTCAGCTGCTCGTTATCGACCACCTCCAGGTTTGAGATGGGGAAACGGAGGCACAGAGAAGTTAGGAAGGTGGCCCGAGGTCACACAGCTAGACTTCAACCCAGGTGGTTGAGCTCCATGACCTGTGGCATACCTCCCTTCTCTACACCATGCCATCCACTCCCTGGTTTTTATATGCAAACAGGATCACCTGCCACCACGGAGAGCCTCTCGGACTCAGCGTGTCCATCTCTTGGGTCCTCCGTCCCGGAGACCTGGAGCTGCCCTTTCCATCCGCCTCACCCTGCACACACCCAATCCAGCATCTCCTGGGTCCGTCCAGGACAGAAAGTCTAGCCGGGCCCCAGCTTCCCCATCTAGAAAATGGGGCCACAAAACCCCACCTCACAGGGCCGGTATGGAGATGTCCTTGAGGAGGATAATTAACATGTGTAACCGCAGACACGGCCCCTCCCATGTCTGGGGCACGTTTGGCACGGTCACATCCTTGACCTTCCTAATCTTCCACGCGCAGGCCCAACCCTCGTCTTGGCCCACCTGGCCCACTACAGCTGGTCCAAACACCGCTGGCCTTCTCAGTGGTTGCCCTGCTTTTGCCCTTGGCCTACATGGCCTCAGTCAGATACCGTCTCTTTCTTTCTCCCTGAAATCCTCCAGCGTGGCTCCCGTCTCGAGAGCAAAAACTGAAGTCAGTTCAAGGGCCCACAAGAACGGTTCTCAAAGTGTGTTCCTGGAGCATCACCTGGGAACTTGTTGGAAATGTGCGCTTCCTGGCCCTGCCTCAGACCTACTGGTCCGAAATGGAGGTGGGGCCCAGGTGTCTGCATTTTAACCGGCTCCCGGGTGATTCTGACATCCACGGGAGCTTGACAACCACTGGCCTACGAGGTCCTACAGGATGTGGTTCTTCGAAGCCTCTGATTTCATCTCTCGCTTTTTCCCTCCGCTCCAGCCCCTTGTGCTGGCTCTTCCCCCAGACCACCTGCATGGCTCTGTCACCTCATGCACATCTTTGCTCAGCCGCATCTTCTAATTTGCAACTCCCCTGACCAACCTACGTGACATAATCACCCCACGGGGCGCCTGGGGGGCTCAGTCGGTTGGGTATCTGACTTCGGTTCAGGTCATGATCTCGCGGTTCGCGAGTTCGAGCCCCGTGTCGGGCTCTGCGCTGACGGCTCGGAGCCTGGAGCCTGCTTCAGACTCTGTGTCTCCCCCTCTCTCTGCCCCTCCCCCGGTCGTGCTCTGTCTCTCTCTCCCTCCAAAATAAATAAAAACATTAACATTTTTTTTAAATAATCATCTCATGGGGCACCCTGTTCCCTTTCTGTCCTCTGTTCCCCTCCATATCCTGGATTACCAACTGACACACTATAGAATTTCACTGATTACATTCATTGTCTGTGCCTCCCACCGCCCCCAATACAAGCAACCTGAGGGCTAGTGGTTTGGAGTTCTGGTCACGGCTATGTCCTCAGTGTTGTTTCCGGCACATTCAATAGAAACTTGTCGCTTATGTTGCCCCAGCTTCTCCCGGCCTCTGGTCTGTCCCCCACACAACCCCAGAGGATCTTGCTGCGCCCAGAGCTGAGCCTGCCCTTTCCCCACTCATAGCCCTGCTCCTTCAGGACAGTCTCCAGTCTCCCTGACCTTGCAGCTAAACCCTGGACGCATGTGTCTAGCTGCCTCCTGGATGTCTCCTGCGTCCCTCACGGTCACTACATCCTAGCCCAGCTCACCACCTACTCCCACTCCTGCTCTTTTGCCCGGACTCCCCGTCTCCAGGGATGACCCAGCCCCCACCCTCGCATGGGGACCCCGGGTGCTGTCCGTTATCTTGCAACTCCCCGAACAGCCCATCAGACCCACCCCCTGTCCCTCTTGCTCCGGACTCTCATCTGCGCCCGTGTCCTCTCCTGCACCGTCACAGCCCTTCCCCGCCTCGGGCCTCCCAGCCTCCACTGTCTCCCCCACTCCAGTCTGTCCCACACACGGCTCTAGGGGGAGATCTTTTACGTGCAGAACGGGACTCGTTCCGGCTCTTTTCAGAAACTTCTGTGAGGAGGTGGTCTACGTGGGGAGAAAAGGTGTTTTCTGGAGTCCTGAGCCCCTCCCCCCACCCCAGCTCTGAGTTGCCCAGGCCTCTCTTTGGGCTTTGGGGGTCTGTAGCTGAAGTCTTATCCACGCTCACCCCCTCCCCAGATACCCCCTGGGTGGACAGGAACCTCCCCATCTTTCAGGGTCGTTGTCAGAAAGCTTGGTGGGCAAGAGCAAAAAACAAAAGGCCTAACTGCAGATGTAGAAATAAACCCTGAGCCCTGGACCCCCAGCTGGCCAGTTCCTGCTGCGAACAGTGCTCAGGCCTCCCTCCTCCCTCCCACCCTCAAGGTCTGTCTGGTCGGGAGGCTTCTCCCGCTCACCACGCTGCACAGGTGGGTGAGCTGAGACCCCGAGGGAGGCAGCAACACATCCAGAACCTCACAGCCAGGAAGAGGGGGAGCCACACAGCCAGGTGGCTCTGCCTGCTCCCGACCGGGCTTCAGACTCGAGGTCATTTCTGCACTATTCTTTGACCTCCCTGCCAGCATCCGGCCGTCCCTTCTTCCCGACAGATAATCGGGCTCCCTCAGCCTATGGCACCGCCTCAGCATCTGCCACGTTTGCCCCCCACGCCCCGCCCCGCGCACACACATCTACCTCTTGGGGGCTTCCAACCCACATCTGCCAGACCATCCCCACCCCACTCACCCTGGGCGGCAGCTATCTCCTGGAGAGAGTGGGTCATCTGGGTGAAGGCGTCATGCAGATGGCTTCTGTCATCGTAGTCTGGGAGGAAGGGCGGAGGGCAGAGGCTGGGAAAAGCAGTCCCCTCAACACCACGTCCGAAGTGTGGAGATTCTCTGTCTCTCTAAGATACCTTCTGTCTCCGAGTCTCTGTCCGCCCCCCCCCCCACTGCTATCCTGCCCTCTCTGAGTCTATCCCCCCATCTCTATCCTCTCCTGAGTCTGTCCTCCATGTCTGTACTATCCCCTTCTGGGTCTGTCCCCCCAAGTGTCTGCCCTCCCCCGAGTCTGCCCCTCACTCTCCATCCTGCTCTAAGTCTGCCCCCACCATCCCCTCTCTGTGTGAATCCCAGTGGTTCTCAAGGCGCTCGGGGCCCTCCCTGCACATACCCCCCAGGACCCCGGAGGAGAGTGGCAGGTCTCCTCACTGATTTCAATGTCGGCGAGGTCCGCAAAGGCGCTGCTGAATGCCTCCTGACACTTCTCCAGCTCGGGGCCCTGTATACCAGCAAAGATCTGGCAGATGCGGGTGCGTTCCTTATAGGATGTGAAGCAGATCAGACAGGCCCAGGCGGGGGCCCTGAAGACGGTGAGGGCCACCAGGGCACACAGGACAGCGCTGTCTTGGGCCAGCGGGGCCATAGCGGAGGGTCTAGGCCCGGGGAGAAGCTGGTGGCCTTTGTGAGGTCACCATGGTGGGGGGGGAGGGGCAGGTGGTCTAGGGTCAGAGGTCGGATTTCTGTGGCTGGCCACACGTCAAGCTCTGGGTTTTCCAGGAGAAAGGGTGTGAGCGGCCAGGGGTCAGGTGGGCAGTCCCCAGGCTTGTGGTTGGTCCGGACGCCAGGCTCCCAAGAACCTCACCTGTGACCCTGGATGTCCTCACAGGTTAAAGGGTCTCAGGGACCCAGAGGCCGGCAGTGTGGCGTGGGGTGGCCTGACAGGCGCTGGCGTGGGGTGGGGGTGTGGGGTCAGAGTGGAGATGGCACAGAGATACTGTGAGATCCCGAGAGACAGGAGCTGAGACATGGAGGGATGCCAGAAAACACAGTAAGAGAGAGATGAAGACAGAGTCTGAGAGGCCGCTGTGCAGACACACAGAAGACTCCAGAGACACAGTGGAGATGGAGAGACAGCCCAGCTCCTCCACCCAGGGTCCCCCCCCCCCCCCCCCCCCCGGCATGGGGCAGCGGTCCGGGGCTGGGGTCCCCGCCGGGCGTCCCGTGCAGGGCGCAGCCTGGGGAAAGCTAGGAGGCCGTATAGTGATCTCCGTGGGTGTCCTCCTCAACTATACAACCTCCTACCTCAGCCCGGGGGGCGCGGCAGGTGGACAGACAGACGGATGGACGGACAGATGGGGGCCAGGAGGACCAGGGAGGGCGGGGAGGGCCGGGAAGACCCCAGCCGCGATGGTGAGCCCCCGACACGGACCCACAGACTCGAGCTTGTGTGCGGCGAAGGCCCCGCAAGGTCGGTTCTACGGGTGGGTGCCAGGACCCAGGAATCCGGGCCCCCGGCCCCCTCCTCCCCCAGGAACCCAGGAATCAGTCCCTCGGCCCCTTCCTCAGCAGGGACCCAGGAGTTCAGGCCCCTAGTCCCTTCCTCCTCAAAGGGCCCTGGAATCCAGGCCCCCCCAGCCACCTCCTCCCTCAGACCCGGGAGTCCAGCCAGGCCTGCCTCCCTGGGGAAGACATGGCCTGGCTTCCCGGATGCAGAGTCAGAGGGAGCCTCACCTGTTTTGGAGTTGGGCCCCTTGGGCAAGCAGCTCCCTACCTACCTGTCAGATTCTGGAATCCAGGACTAGGGCGGAGGCGGGGATATGAAACCTTGGAACGTCTCTGGATATTTTTCCCCTCTCTCAGGTCTTCTTTTGGCCTCCCATCGTTTATAATGATGACAGCTGTGATCCCTGAGCGCTAACGCTGCCCCAGGCCTAGTAAGGTGCTGTCGGCTCCCCCCCATTGGGCGGGTGAGAAGGCCGCCTCGCACCGCCCCACGAGGGGGGAGGCTGGGCCAGAGCAAGTGGGAGGGGCCGGGCCTGGTAGGCTGCGGGGCGCGGGCACCCAGCCTCCCCGCCCGAGGGCTAACCTTTAGCCCGTCTGTGCACCTGCAGGCGGCAGGTCGGTCCCTCCGCCCAGCTCTGTCTGGCCCTCGCTCTAGCTCCATCTTTCTGGCAGTGTCCTCCTGCTGTCTGTTCCTGCTGCGCCTGGTGTCCGTGCCAGCTCCCAGCTCACCTGGCCTCTACCTCCTTCTGCGTCTGTTTCTCCCGGCCCCGCATTGCTCATTCCCCGCTCCCGGCCTTCTCTCTCGGCCTCGCTCAGTCTGTTTCTCCCCTCCTTGGTTCCGGCTCCCTCGCAGATGGCCTCTCCCTCTTTGCTCCTTCCTTATTCTTTTTCTTTCCCTTCTGTCTTTCTTCCTCCTCCCTTGTCCTCCTCCCTCCCTCTCTCTTTGTCTCTCATGCTCTCAGTCTCTCTCTCCCTCAATGTCTCTGTCTCTGGCCGTCTCCCTTCTCCTCTCCCTTTCTCTCCATCTCTGTCTCCCTCTGTCTCTTTCCTCCCTTCCTTCCCACCCCCTTCTTTCTCCCTCCCTTCTCCTTCGCCCCCTCTCTGCCTCTCTCTTCGCCTCTCTCTCTCTCTCTCTCTGTCTTTCTCCTTCCCTCTCTCCCTCCCCCTCACAGCTCAGAGCCAGGTCTGGAGCTGGGGGTGGGGTGGGGGTGGTTGGAGAAGGGGCCCAGGGCTGGGGTAGCGACCTGCTGAGGAGGGGGAGGAGAGGCGGGAAGGGGGCGGAGGAGGCAAGGAGGAGATGGGGGGCCAGAGTCGGTCCGGCTCTCATCCCCCTTCCCTCCTTCCCAACCTCCCAGACCCTCAGGCGGGGGCGAGAGTCAGGCCAAGGTGGGGAGGAAGGGGAAGGGAGGAGGCTGCCCCCGCCCCCCCACAACCTGGCCCAGAGCCCAGGCCGGGTTCCCAGCATGCCCCGGGGCTGCCTGGGGCCTGAGGAGGGGGTGAGAGGGGAGCTGAGAATCTTAAAGATTTGCAGGACCCGAGCATCTCCCCGCGGGGGGGGGGGCCCCCCCCCCCCCCGGGGGGGCCGGGGGGCCGGGGGGGGGGGGGGGGGGGGGGGGGTGATTTTTAAATTTTTGCGGGCCCCCGCCCCCCCCCCCCCCCCCCCCCCCCCCCCCCCAAAATTTCTCCTTGGGGAAACTGAGACGCAGAGAAAACCGTCAGGACTTGTTCAAGGTCACCGGACACGGCGCTGATGGAGACACGAACTCCCTGGGCCCATAGGCCCGATTTGGGGAGGGGGTTGGCGCTGGACTTCCCTCAGGTCTGGGTCCCCCTCCCCCTCTCCGCAGACCCTGGGGAGCCCCCAAGGGTCAGAGAGCAGACCCAAACAGTCTGGCACCATGGCAACCGGCTGGCCCCGCCCCCTTAACCCCCAGAGGGCTGGGATCCAGCTGGGGCTTAAAGAGGAGGTGGGGACGCCTGGGTTCGGGGGAGGAAGGGGCAAGGGGCCCGGACTCCGCCGTTTTGTGAAGGGTGGGGGCTGGGCTGTGGATTCCCAGGTCTGAGGGAAAAAGAGGCCCGAGGCCCAGTCTCTCTCGGGTCCTGGGGTAAAGAGGGCTAAGGGTTCGGATTCTGGGGGAGGGGGCTGGCTTGCGGACTCCCAGGTCTGAAGGAGGAGGGGGCTGAGGCCTGGAATCCCAGGTCCCCATGGGAGCCTGGATGCTGGGCCTCTCCTCCGCCAGACATCCCCTGCCCCCGCCGCTGACCCTGGCCTGTCTGGCAGCCCAGACAACCTCCCCCCCCCCCTCCTCCGCCCCCACCTCGCACGGCTCACCCTTGACCCCTCAAAGCCCCGCAGCCCCTTCCCTGCCCCTCCCCCTCCCCTCCAGCCAGACGTTAACCCTTCCGCTGCCAGAGGCACCTCCAAAGCCAACCTCTCTCCCTCCACCTCCCCTGAGGGCTCGGGCGGGCATCTTGCCCCAGTGTCCTCCAGCCTCCGCGTCCAGCTACCCCGGCCCCGGCTCCCTCCTCCTCTGGAATCCGGGAGGCGTTCCCCGCCCTCTCCTCCTCCGGACCCCGGAATCCAGGCCCCCAGCCCCCTCCTCCGACGATTCAGGAGTCTGGGTCCCCAGCCCCCTCCTCCTCCAAGAACCCAGAAACCCAGGCCGCCGCGGCCTCCTCCCCCTGGGACCCCGGGTCCGGGCCCCGGCGCCCTACCCCCGCCCCCCGCCGCCCCACCCCCCGCCCGCTTTCCGCAGACTCACGGCTCCGCCGCTCCCGCGTCGGAGGGCAGGGGCTCCCCGGCCAGCCCCCAGGCCG